CTGGGTAACTCCAGCTCCTCCAAAGACCCTTCCTTGATACTACACCCCCTACTCCAAATGGTGCATAAATTACTTCCTCATTCTCTTTCACAGCTGGACGGTAGGCCATTATCTGGGCCTATTGTCTTAATTTAATCAATCTCTTTAGTGGTTATTTAGATTATATTTGGTCCTTTATTTTTATAAGTAATAATCTTGTGTAGAAAGCATATCTAGAGTATAAATTTCTAGAAGGACTTCTGTACAAACAGTGCATACAGATAGTTCAACACTGTGGTGAAGAGTCTGGGCTGCCCCCTATCAGCAAGTGACTTAACCTTCCCCTTATGTGTGAGTTGAGGATAATACCAGTCCCTCTCTTAGAGTTGGTGTGAGACTTACTGAGTTGGTATACATATAGAGTGTCTAGCACATAGCCTCTCAATATACATCAATTGTTATTATTAGCATTTAAGATTTTAGCTAGTTTCTACCCATAAATGTGTTATCAATTTAAACTTCCAACAGTATGAGAATGACTGCCTCTTCATACCCTCAACATAGCATCTTATTAAACTACTTTTTAATCTGTGCTACCATGATGCCCATGACTTCTCCTAATAGTATAATTAGTATTTCTCTTACTAAGAGCGAAACTAAGCATATGTTTATATGTTTAAGTGCATTTGAGTCCTGTGTCCCAACTGTTCCTCATGTTTCACAGACTCCTATTGGTCATTGTCCTTTTTATTGCTGATTGTAGGAGTTCTTTATGTATTAGGGAGTTGTGCCTTTGTGCTATGAGTTAGTCTTTCATAGTAGTCAATACTTTTTCTTCATGATACTAATTCCTGTTTTTCATGATTTCTTTATTTATGATTATTTTTTAAAGCTCCATCATATCAAGGCCCATGTTTATTTGTTTGTCATTGTATATTGAGCACCAAGTAAAATGCTGAACACATAGTAAATGATCAATAAATATTTAATGCATGGACCAAATGTGACAAAGAGCATCTTGGTATATAAGTAAACTGGGAACTTGGAAGGGAACAATTTTGTATGAGAATGTGATGAGTTTGTTTTTAGATATGTGACATTTAGGTGACAACCAATATTCTAAGTTGAATACATACTATGCTCTTATTTGGCAAGATACTCGCAAAGATTTCGGAGTCATCACCATGAAGTGTTTGATTGGAAACAGATCTCTGATGAAGAGACTGTTATGTGAGGGTTCACAAACACTTCCAATCAAAAACTATTTCAAGTGATTATAGTTGTTACAACAACTTCCGAACAAATATGAAAAGAAAAGAAAACTAGAAGCATTATATATTTGTAAGTATAATGATATGGGGAATGTAGAAAAATGTTAATGCCTTGGAACAATAATTATTAATGCAAAGTATTTAGCTAATATGTTATCATTATGCCCCAGTTACTTATTGTGAAGAAAAGAAAACTTTACTAATGGAAAGCTGAGTTTATTATACACATATAAGTGTGTGGAAATCAAAAACGCTTTTATTATATAATGTAGGCTATTTGGATTATCAGTGTATTCTGTTTTTCAGTTTAAATTGGACATTGATTGTGTTTTCTATTACTGAAATACCACTGAGAGATAGTTACTATCAATTTAGTCTCCAAGTCTGTATATTAACTGCATGAAAAAGAAGAACCCATTCAGCCTTCTAAAAAGAAATGCTTATTTTTTTCAGAACAGAAATAAATAAACTATATATATATAAAATAGACTATATATATATAATTTAAAATAAACTATATATATATAATTTAATACCCAGGAATATCTTGATGGCTACAGTCATTGAATAACCATTTGACTTAAATAGATATGAATTGGTCCCTTTAATAAATCTGTTGTGAAGTTATAGTCCCTGGTCAATAATTATAAGAAAATAACTTGGGCAGAAATTTGATTTTGATGGCTAGCAGATGTGCCATCTCAGCGTCAATCTTGATTTTCAGATGAGCCTGTGGATTAAAAAATACTATCTTTGAACTATACATTTTTCTCCTCTTTATTAAAATCTATGAGTTAAGAAATGAGGAGTATGTATATAATTGTGCTGGACAGACAAATCATTTAGACAAAAGTTCTGGTCGTGTTAGGATGCCTTTAGGCTGGACATTTAGCTATCTTTGGCTTATTGATCAGAAATCCTGGTATTTGGGGCATTTTTGTTATGAAAACGGGGTTTTTATATGTAATCATCAGATCCTTCGTTGCAGATAAGGGCTTGTCACTGATGAAGGAAGTAATCTGTAGCAAAGACACAGAAAACATGGAGAAAATACATCTACTTAAACAGGAGCGGCAGCAGCAGCTTATCACAGCCTGGCTGGCTGAGCACCAGCTGGCAGTGGGCACTGAAGGAGGCATATAGTGTCACTTTGGGGGATTTCAAGAAGCCAGTCAGCCCGACTGGTGTTGCTCAGTGATTGAGAATCAATCTAGGAACCAGGGGGTCACAGTTCAATTCCCCATCAGAACACATGCCTGGGTTGCAGACTTGATCCCCAGTGAGGGGCCTTCAGGAGGCAGCTGATCAAGGATTCTCTCTATTGTTAATATTTCTCTCTCTCTCTCCCTCTCTCTCCCTTTCTCTCTGAAATCAATAAAGATATATTTCTTTAAAAAATAAAAATTAATTAATTAAATAAAAAAGAAGCCAGTCAACTGGTTATGCTGAATTCCCAGAAGTGCTCATTTTCTACTTAAAATAGGAACATTTATTCCTTGAGAGAGAAAAGAAACTCCTAGGGGGCCTGTGTTTATCTAGGAAGGAAATAGTTATGAATTTTTGGACAGGGTCTTACTGTATACAACTTGTGTTAAAAGACTGGAGATAAAGATGAAATAAAGCTTGTTTTGTTTTCCTTCATTATGAAAATAACCTTCTGAGAGCTGTTCTCAAAGAACATCCTCTACAAAGCAGTGGTGACAGAGTAAGGTTTTATTTCATCAGATGGTTATGGTTCCTGCATTTTTGCTCAGACTCCTGCTGAGACTTGGGTAAATGGAAGTTAATGGTTTGTGGCTAAAGCCCAGTTACTTTCCTGCACATGGAGTCCGTTCTATACTGCGTTAATCTATCTTATACCCATCAAAGGAGCCATGATAAGCCAGTATCAAGGACTGATCTGAAAGGTCAATTAATCTTCTTAGCAATACCCAGGGATGGAGTAGAGGGATGGAAACCATTCTGTTCTAGAGGGTTCTAATCCTATATAATAAAAGAGAAACATGCAAATTAACCATCCCTCTGCTATGCTCAAGCCACGGCCACAAGCCAGTCAGGAGCAAGTATGCAAATTAACCCAACTAAGATGGTGGCAGCCACAGAGCTGGAGCGAGCAGGAGGCTTGGGTTGCCCCCGGCGATGGAGGAAGCCAAGTTTCCTGCCTGCCCTGGCTGGCCCTGGGCTCCGCTCAAGGCTACAAAGTTTCAATTATAGAAGATAAATAAATCCCAGAAAGAAGAAAAAAGAAAGAAAGAAAGGAGAGGCTGGGAGCTTGGGTCGCCGCGGGGCATGGCCAGCCTGAAAACGGCCATCAGCCCCTCACCCAGGCTGGCCAGGCACCCCAGCAAAACCCCCACCCTGATCTGGGATACCCTTCAGGGCAAACCAGCCGGCCCCCACCCATGCACCAGGCCTCTATCCTATATAATAAAAGGCTAATATGCAAATTGACCATAACAGAAGACCAACTGGAAATGACTGGTCACTGTGACACAAACTGACCACCAGGAGGCAGATGCTCAATGCAGGAGCTGCACCCTGGTAGTCTGTGCACTCCCACAGGGGGAGCTCTGCTCAGCCACAAGCCAGGCTGCCAGCTGCCAGCACAGCAGTGGTAGTGGGAGCCTCTCCTGCCTCCTCAGCAGCGCTAAGGATGTCCGACTGCAGCTTTGGCCTGCTCCCTGCTGGCAAGTGGACATCTCCTGAGGGCTCCTGGCCTGCCAGAGGGATGTCTGACTGCCAGTTTAGGCCCAGTCCCCTGGGGAGTGGGCCTAAGCCAGCAGGTGGACATCCCCCGAGAGGTCCCAGACTGCGAGAGGGCACAGGCCGGTCTGAGGGACCTCCCCCCCCCCCCCCAGTGCACAAATTTTTGTGCACTGGGCCTCTAGTTGTAATACAAGAGAATGTGACTCCCTCAATGTGTGCCTGTTCTCTTGGTGTGATGAGACAAAAACATACTCTTGACAGAAACGTGGCCAAATAACTGCTTGCTTGCTTCAGTCTCCATCTCTTTTTTAAAATATATTTTTATTGATTTCAGAGAGGAGGGGAGAGGGAGAGAGAAACATCAATGATGAGAATCATTGAAATGGCAACCTCCTGGTTTATAGGTCAATGCTCAACCACTGAGCCACACCAGTTGGGCAGTCTATATCTCTTTATAGCTAACTATTCTCAATCCCATGACAGACATGGAAGCTAAATTCAGCCAGTTGTCTGGCCGCTTATGTTAGTGCATAAAATTCTTAATTAACAGAATATAATCCATTGTAAATCACTTTGGTAAGCTTTTAAACCTCATAAGGAATTCTGTCTTGTCCAAAAGCTGCTTTCAAACTGTGCTGATCCGGCATGCATGCGCCATTCCCCGTGGAGCTGAGTGCAAGGATACAAAGGGAGCCAATTAAAGAAACTTAGAGCCAGAAGAGTCGAGCAGAGGCCATCTTGCCCATCCTTCTGCCTCCAGGCAAAACCCGTCCCCTGCACCCAAAATTTGTACTTGAATCCGGCTGACAGACATGCTCACCACAAGTAAATGACAAGCAGCTTATCTGTTTAGGACTTATGTATGATGTTCTAAACATGCTGAGTAGGAAAGCTCATCTGAATTATTTTAATTCCCCCTTTCTAGGACGTTATTTTGTTCAAGAAATGGTCTCAATCATTGTAAAGATGTGGGAGTCTGTGTCTGCGCCACGAAGTTCTCTTTGTCATCGTATTGAGTGTATTTCTGGCTTCCTTTCACTCTAGGTCTACCTTATGGGTGGGAGGAAGCTTACACAGCAGATGGAATCAAGTACTTCATCAAGTAAGTACAAGCGTCTCCTCCAAGTAAGCAAGTTTTTCACATCTGGCGGGAACCTGGGAGTTGCAGACTAATCAGCAAAACCAAGACACCCTCTTGGAGGTTACAGAAATTAGAAACAAGAAATGAAGGCTCACCATTTTCACTTCATGTGATTTAAGTGCTAATATCAGATATCATTTGGGGAACAAAATTAAAAAAACAACAACAGCCTAATAATAATTTTAAGGGGAACATCAAAAAATTGGAACAGGGTCATCATTGGAACTTAAATAGTGACCGCTTGGATTCACTTCTGGCTTAAGGTATTAATATTTGTGAAAAGCTAATCTAATGAAAACCCCACTTAAAACTTCTCAATAATAGTGCTAAAAATGAATATTCTTAATGCTTTCCAGTCTGCACAGTTCATTTACCTGCAAATACTTTTTTGAACATTTGCCATGTGCCAGGCAGTGGTTCATGCCTTGCAAATTCCATAGTGAAATATACAGAGTAGATCCCTGATATCATGGAGTTTACATAATAGTGAGGAAAGTCAGGAAATAAGTAATTGAAGAGACAAATGAGATGGTATACGAGCCGGCCTTATCTTAGTGGATCCTCAGAACACCCTTTTATGTGTACCTTATTCTCCGTTCGATAGATGAAGACAGTAAGAGCCTAGAGTGGTTGCCAAAAAATCCACAGCCACGAAGTTACCAACCCAGAGTAGAATCCATCTTCTGACTCCAGGATTCTCCCTAATAGACTAGACTCGCCAAAAGAGACCTGTCTTTGAAAGGAATACATTTTCCAGCTGTTGACCTGGTTAGCTTTACCCTGGACAAAGTAGTCTGGCAAACTTCCACTATGTTTGGGGCAATTCTTTTCATGTCAGATTTGGGTTATGAGGGCAAAAAGGGGGACTTCTGACAGACTCCTAAGATCCCAAGAGATGCCCTGAGTTTGTACTTCTTAACTAATACTTGCTGTGCATTTGGGGAGAAGAGTTCTTGCTGTCCTTTCAGATGTGCAGGTATTTTCCAAAGCAATATCCAGATTTTGGATTCTCAAGCTCTGTGACTTGACCCAGGTTCCTACATCTCTCTTCACCCCAGTTTTCTCATCATAAAATCGGGGAAATATTACCTACTTTATAAAGTTGTTCAATGCTAACTAAGCATTTAGCATAGAACTTTGAACATAGTAGGTGCCCAATAAGTACTCAGAAATTTACAATATGGAAAAATCATCTTCGAGGGGGGAAAACATGAAAAATAATGTAACCATTAACAGCATTGAGAATTCAAAAGCTTCATATTTGAAAATATTTAAGGAAAAATTAGGGGTAAACTTGTCAAAGTATTGTCATGATATATTTTTTCTTGTGGTCTCCAGCAAAAGCTAATTCATACAGCAAAGGTGTGGTTTGTAACCTGCAGAGGGGAAGGGGACTGGTGGAGCAGAGAACCCAGGAATTCCATGCATAGATCACATTTAGCCCCTTACTATTCACTTCCAGAATCAGAGCTCCTCTGGAAGGGAAGTTTCACTCTGATATGCTGGGCTAACTATGGTTAGTTCTTGGACGATGGAATCACTGGGCTTTCGGGATGGCAGGAAAATGAAAAACCGTTTTCAAATCTGCTTTGTTTTCTTTCTCATAATAACTTTGTAATGAATAAGGGAAAAAATATGGGGGTGGTGAAGGAAATAAGCATTTATTGGGCATTAGCTGGTGTTGAATAGCCAGGCATATGTTAGGTGTAGTTTTCTATGCGTCATGTCATTAAATCCTCCCAACAATGTGGAAAGTGGGCACCACCCGGCTCTTATTCAGATGGTGGTTAGCTGCCGCCTGCCCTCAGCCATGCCTGTCTTCTAGAAGGTCCCCAAAGAAATGCCTGATCAAAGAAAGGCAAACTAGTATTCTTATTCACTGGGTTCTGAATTCAAAGGCATTTGGACAGTGGCAGTGAATGAGTGTGGACCCTGTGAGGACTCTTCGCTAAACTTAGGCTTAGCCGTCTGTGAGTGTATTCCAACCAAAAGGTGAGGTCAGAGCCTAGCTAGTGTCAATGGAGGAAAGGATACGAAAGGGATAATCGCCAACTACCAAGGAAAAGGAGGGAGCAGGAGACAGCCAGCAGAGAGCGAGTGTGCCCCAAGGCCTGTTACCCAGCTGGCTCAGCTGCCGTCCTTTGCAGACGGAACACTGGCCTAGGCTGGGCTCCCTCCTACCCGAGGGAGAATAGCAGAGGAGAGAAGAGAAGGAATACACAAGGCCTCTGACTGCCCTGAGAGCTAACTCACAGTTCCTGTGGAAGGAATGGAAAGAGACACTACATTTATATAGTGGACTCTGATCTAGAAAATATACCCCTTAGAGCAGTGATGGTGAACCTTTTGAGCTCGGCGTGTCAGCATTTTGAAAAACCCTAACTTAACTCTGGTGCCGTGTCACATATAGAAATTTTTTGATATTTGCAGCCATGGTAAAACAGACTCATATTTTTGATATTTATTTTATATATTTAAATGCCATTTAACAAAGAAATCAACCAAAAAACTGAGTTCGCGTGTCCCCTCTGACACACGTGTCACAGGTTCGCCATCACTGCCTTAGAGTGTGCTTTGGAAGGTCATCAGTTGTTTTCTTTGACCTTAATATTGACTCATAAGGAAAGCAGAAAAGAGGTAATAAGACAGATTTGTTCTCAAGGACAATGGCGGGTTTCATTGTCTCACCATTACAGCCTGAGGAACTGTGTGGAAAGGAGATTAAACCTGTCAAGGTTACACAGCAGTAAAATCACACAGACCCAGGGTTGTCTGCCCCATAGCCACCCTGCCCCACCACACACACGCACACGCACAAGCACATGCACACACTGCACCTCCCCCATCTCCTTATTTTAATATAGTATGTTTACACGTGACAAAGAAGACATTTTAAACAGCTCTTCATTTAGGAAGAACTCTATTCATTTTAAAACAACAGATTAGAAACTTAGTTCTAAGAATGAGTACTTATCTCCTGGAGATCAGAAAAGTCAAATAATAGAGATAAGGAAAATCTAACACTACACCAGTGCTTCCTTTACCAGCCTCAGGGAGGAACAGGGTGCATACCAGGAACTGGGTTTGGGAGGAGGGGGGTTTGCTAGAAATTAACCCTATTCAAGCACCTTCCCTTATTTTACCTTTATTCTTTATGAAAGTCTTACTTAATAAGTGTTAATACTTCCCTACCTTCTTTCAGGGCACTGAACAAGCACAAATTATTGCGAATGTCAATCTTATACATAATACAGTGAGTTCTGCAGGGGGATATGAGGCTGTATAAGCTAGAATACAGAGACAGCAGTCACGTCTCTGCTCTCAACATGCCTGTCCATCCCCTCTCCCCACGCTTCATTTTTATCGTCTACACACCTCACCCTCTTCCCCAGGAGTTTATTTGGAGAGGATAGGACACCAGATAATCAGACTAAGTTCAATTGCTTGTCAGTAGTCCTTGAGGTGTACCTGTGAGCCAGGTACATTTGATGGGCTTACTTCTTGGCTCTTAGCTGCGTTCGGACAGATGATGCCGTCAGAGAAGTAGTGTCTGCATAAACAAACATCTACTCTGTGTCTTTCTTGGAACTTTGTTTTGTTTTTTTGCTTTTGGTTTGTTTGTTTGTTTTTAATCTGCATCCTCCCACTGCACCAACCAAAATTTGAGCCTGGATAGGCTGTGTTGGTTTTTGAGTAGGAGTGGTTCATTTACCAGGTTAATGTACTTTGGAGACAAGGAATAACGAGTAATTAATTCAGGTTTTTCCCTCTCTCACCTTTACTTGTGATTGAAATCATCCTCCGGAACACCAGAGTAGGTGGTGGTCTGTGTACATACAGTCTTTCCCCTGAGATTGACATCTGCCACTGGCGTCCCAGAAATTGAATTGTTACCTCTGATGGAAGCCACGCCTCAGGCAGAGGAGTAACTGTCAGTGCTGTCCCAAGAATGCCCAGGCAGATATCGTCCTCACTCAACATCCCCGTCCATCCACGTGTCCATTGCACAACTATTAATACTTCGTGGTCGTCTACTTAGGTTCCGACACAGGGGAAGAAAGCATTGCACGCGGTATAAACAAATTTATGCAAAGTGTTGGTGTTATGCAAAGAGCCGAGAAAACCTCAGCATGTTGTTTGCGGATTCCAGAGAAATAACCCCCGGAGGACTGGCCGTGAAAGACACGGGTCTACTAGGGCTTACCTGTGCGCCAGTGTCGGCTGGCCCGTGAAGTTTTCCTTCATACAGGAGAGTGGGGGAGTGGATTCTGCCACCCACACTTTCCAAGTACCGCGTTATATGGAGTACAGACAGCAGAGCGCACAGCACCTGCTGGTGGCTGTGCGACATCAAAACGCAGGCTGTTTCTCTGCAGCTGCTTACCGTCCACGCTCACATCACAAGCAGTTTCTCTCCGGCCCAGCAGCTGGCCAGGCTCCCGAGGTGTCTCAGTCCCCTTACAGATGGCCTTCACCACATTCCCACAGGGCGGGAGCTTGGGGAGGGCCCCATGTTCTCACATACCACACACTTGGCCTTGCTAGAGAGTTTCATAGAACTAAGAGCATGTGTATCTCTTATGTATGTATGTGTACCAATATGTGTGTGCACATATGTATGTTGGCAGGGCTTGCTCACTTGATAAATATGTGAGCATTTAAGGGAAAATGTTCTTATGTTTTCCTTAGAGAGTTGCAGCTTTCTTAAATTTCATGACAAGTGTCAGTTGTTTGATGGTGCTATAATGAAGTTATCTGATTAACTTGACCATTTTCCTACTTACCTTCTTCTCTTCCCTTTGAAGTTGTATACTATTCCAGATCTATAGTGGTCTTTGGTACGACTCCACTTTACAAGTTCATGTACTTTGTCTGTATGTTACATAATTTTACAAAACCATTATGAGGGTTATGTTTGATAGTGAAAGTGAATTTAAATATTATAAATTAGACAGCTGCTG